CGATAAGCTCTATGTTTTATATTTAATTAACGTATGATCTGATTAGTCGACTAATCGAATAAATAATCGGTGATTAATCGATTATTAAAATAATCGTTTGTGGCAGCCCTAACGTTGATAAAATTATGAATGAAAAGATGATTATTCTGTTTATTATCTGATTAATAATAAGAAAATGTCTCTTTAGTGTTTAAGAAAACCTGTTCTGACTTTAACTTGAACAGAGTTCTGTCTCTGGGACCAAGATCAAAGACAAGTGGAACTGTTTTATTCGTGACCAAATAGTTTGCCTGTGTTGTATAATAATTAATATAAATTAAACTGATTTTGCACAGAAGTGAAGACAGGTCAGAGGTTAAAAAAGTTAAGTGTTCACTTCAGAACTGCCCTACTGGTTTCAGACTTATGTCCACTCATGAGTAACAAATAGTAACTTATCTGTAACATGTGAACTTGTGCATTAATTATCTGTAACTTAACTAACTTATCAGCTGCTCGTCGGCATAAGCTGAAAAATATCAGCATGTCCAAAATCACTGTCTGATCATTATAGATCAACTTTCTGTTAACTTATTAAGAACTTACACCAGGTTGGTGGACAAAATTTGCATTTGTCGGCACAAGTTGTTTCAAACAGTGTGACAGCCTTTAGCATGAACAGTTGGAGTACATGCTTGTTTGTTGGCAACATATCTCATGACCCACTGGGTGAATTGTAATGAAACTTAACTTGTACGTCTACAGCTGATTGACCTTTGGAGTAGTGCTAGGCGGTATACCGTTTCGTACCGAAAACCGTTTTTTTATTTTTGTTATATGACTTTTCTGAATACCGGTGTAAATAGCCTGAACATGCGTGGAATGTTTCGCTGCGGCCGCCAGTGAACTGTTTCCCTGGGGACACGTTTCCTTGCAGCACCGCTAAGTGCATTAGCATGCTAACGTTATTGGAACAACAGGCGGCAGGTGGTGTGTTTCAGCCGCTTATATAGTCTGACGTAAAAAAAAACATCCAATTTTCACCATCGATGAATAGTAAACAACTCTTCAGTGACGTGTACGATTAGATTTAACATGCTATGTTATACTGCATGGAGACTCTAGCGTGCTTCTATTGTGAAAAGCCCGGGGGGAAGTAGTTTTGTAGTGTAGCGGAGTTGACTGGTGTGCAAGGTGAGTTGTCCTTTTAAGTTTTATTAACACGCAACGATAGACCAGATAATGTTTTTTTGTCAACCCTTCACGATCAAACCTAAATGCACGATTACTGTCTACAACCAAAGAAGAAAAGACGTACAAGAGGAGGGAAACAGTGATACAGAGGTACAGTAAAAGAAAAAAGTCAATAAGCAAAATTTGTACATTTTATTATCAGCTGAGCTGTGAGGAAAAAAATACCATCAAATACCGTGAAACTGGTGTAACTTGAAAATACGTGATATAAAATTTGGGTCATACCGCCCAGCTCTACTTTGGAAATAGATCCAAGATGGCAGCCACAGCATTAACACAAAAATGTCTAAAACGACTGTTGAGTTACAGTATGCTGTGGTAGCAAAAGTTTGAGTGACAGCTCACATGTTACTTTATAAAGGTTTGACCAAAAGGACAACTCCATCCCTATTAGTCTAAAACTCTACACAGCATCCTGTCAAGAAATGTTGGACCAATTAAACTCAACGTATTCAGAAGAGAATATGAATTTAATGCCTACGATGAGCACTAACCTCTATAACGGTACATAAAAGTGATCCGCACAAAGTCCAGCAGCTCATGAGCAAACAGTGGAGGGTAACAAATGTTGAAATGAAGAGTTGCGTGAACGATCGCACACAGAACGAGTTCACAGTTCCTCATCGGCTCTAATCTGATGGAGGGATGAGAGAAGGATGAAGGTCAGGACCAGTGCATAGCATTAGAGACACCTAAACCAATTAGTGCTGATAAATACAGCCTTGTGTATTAATCCTGTAACTGCACTAACACACACTGACAGCACACACACAGACCGAGTTATAGCCGTTTGGGTCAAACTTTGAAAATAATGTTACACAATACACACAATCTGCAATATAGGAAGACCCACTACTACCACACCATGTTTTATATCAATATTTGTAAAAATTGTTTGAGTTAAAGCTATTTTACTGTTGGCTAAGTTTGTTCAGCTGTGGCAGTCATCTTGAATGGGGTTGACTCCAAAAGTAAAACATTTGTACTTGTGGATCCGGTGATTACTTTCTGAAAGTTTCATTTAAAATGGTCCACTGGTTCATGGGATATTTTGCTAACAGACAGACTAACACAAACAACACATTCTTTCTTTGGAGTGATAAAAGTGGCACAAAGATCAAAGACACAGATAAGTTATAATTAATGCATTTAGAGTTTTTTCAGTAGCAGAAGTTACTTAGGTCTACTTTACCTGCAGAAGAATGTATTTAATCCATATTTTTATTTAAGTCCAGACAGAGTTAGAAAACAAACCTAACATACCTCCACGGCTCTGCCTGCTGAAGTGGTGCTAATGCAGCCTTGCAGAGGAGCTCAGTCTCTAACTGACACCAGCTGACACAGTTGTTCCTCAGTCTCCTCCCTCCGGGACGCAACGTGGACCTGCTCGATCAGAACCCGCAGGACCGAGCCTGCTGCTGGGCTCACATGACCGCACTGACGCCTTTAGTCCGCCGGCTCTAATGCCATTATTTACCCTCACTTTGAGTCCTCTCTCTACGCTAGTTCCCGGCTCAAACAGCGCAGCTCGGCGTTAATCTGAACCCTCATCGAGCTGAGTTAACTGTGACCCGGCCACAGAGGGGGGTGTCATGCAGCTTTGTGTCTCCGCGCCTACAACAAGCAGCCAGATTCAAGATACAATCCGTCCGAGCCCAGGGGTTAGCTGCACGGCTAGCGCCGAAAGGAACCAGGTTTTTTTTTAATGGCATCAGACACGAAGCACCGGTGAAACCTTCCGGTGAAACCCACCTCTGTCGTGTCGTGGTTGGCGGCTGGATGCTGCTGCTCCACGTCCGGACGAACCGAGGCTCCTCCAGCGACGAGCGGCTAGCTGAGCTAGCTAGCTGTCGCTGACGAGTGTAGCCGAGCTCGTAGTCTCCCGGGCACGGCTCATCTCTGTCCGGGGTCCCCGCACCTTCACCCCCCTCACATCGTTAGTCCGGGGTCCGGGCTTGTTTCTGCGGTGCTGTAAGCAGGCAGTGTTCGTACACATCTGAAGCCAGCCTCCGCTCCGTGCAGCCCGGCCGGCAGTGCTGAGTGAAAACTGCTCGCGCTGGTTTGTGTGTCGCCTCGCGCTGCTTGGTTCACTTTGGCTTCACCAGCTGGTTTTTCCACAGGCGGCTGCCTCTGATGTGAAGGACTACATTTCCGGGTTCATGACACGTTTTGCGTGAATCTGGACTTTAAAAATACACACACACTTTCTCTCTTCATATGTGTATATGTATGTGTGTTGTACACATGTATGTACCTGTATATAATTATTACTTCATATTTTTACTCAAGTAGCCATCCAAGAAATAAGTTTAAAAAGTATTTTGTAAAAAGGTTGCTAAAGTACAGAGCAATCAAAAAGAAAAAAATTGTATAGGTCTTCTGGACGGGTTCTTCTCTAATGAAACGGTTCGTCTCTCCTCCAAGAGACTTCTTCAGTCTGAGAGTTTCAGGCAAAATTCAGGCTTTTAAGCACTGCCTCCATGTGACTGATACTCACATGGCTATCGTTGACACCTAATTAACACCTATTGTTAACAGGGGGTGGAGTGATACTGGCAATAGCAGCGCTGTAGGAGGGGGACAACTGAAAACGGAGGCCCCCACCTCTGTTTAATGATGGACGGTCTTTCTTCACAAAAATGTCTTCTTTTACTCCTCTCTCAAACCAACGTTCCTCTCTATCAAGAATGAGAACATCCTCATCTCTGAAAGAGTGACCGCTGGCCTGTAAATGAGTGAAAGCTGCAGAGTTCTGGCCATTAGAATTAGCTCGTCTGTGTTGGGACATTCTTTTGAACAGTGGCTGCAACTGGTCGCAGTCCTCCTGGCACTTAACAGCATATACAACATTGCTCTGTTTGTGCCGGGGCACCGGATCTTTGGGGTGAACCAGCCTTTGCCGTAATGTGTTTTGGGGTTTGAAAGCCACTGGGACACCATGTTTAGAAAATAAACGTCTCAGTTTCTCCGAAACACCCGCAACATACGGAATAACCACTGGTTTGGGTCTGGGTTTGGGGTCTTCATTTTCACCTGAAGGTTGCATGGAGTCCTGTCTGTGTTTCCTGTCTGCTTTCAGGAAAGCCCAGTCAGGATAACCACTACAGGATACTCAGGATAACTACTGAGCAATCATTTAACCAATCATTTATTATATAAATATATTATTAAAAATTATAATTAAATTATTATATAATTATAAATTACATCAGACGGACCAAAATATAAAGATATGTGGAAATTTTATCAGTTTTGTACAATATCAGAGGTCTATAAAGTACTTGAAAAAAATAACTAAGTAAAAGCAAATTTACATGGACAGAAAATGACTGGTAAAAAAAATTCACTGACGAGAAAATTACTCAAGTAAAAGTCATAAAACTTCATAAAATTTGGGAAAGTAAAGTACTTTTACACACTCTTTAAGAAATAAACTGTTAAACCTGAACCAAAATTGTTCCACTAAGCCAGGATTAGTAAATTGAGCAATATATGTATATTCTTTGACATTTGACGTGACTTTGTTGAATAAATTCAACACTTCATTTTTTAGAGCAGAAACATCTTCTTTCATGATGAGTTTGAACATTTTAAAGTAAAGGAGTAATATCATTTTTAGCTTTAAAATGTAACGAAATAAAAGTAGCATGTAAAAATTATTGGTAAAATTACAAATCCTCAAAAAAACCACTTAAGTACTGCAACAAAGTAAATGTACTTAGTTACTATAAACCTCTGTTCAACATAAAATTTATGAAACTAACAAAACCTGCAGGTGTGTCTTGTGAAAACAAGCTTGTTCTTCATTCAGTGTAGTTGCTCACAGTGGGCAGAGTATCCAGAAATTTTACTCAAGTAAGAGGAGTGATATTTAATAATAAAATTACTCAAGTAAAAGTAAAAAGTACAATGTAATAAAAATATTACTAAAAGTATTTTATTTCTCCAAAAAGTTGCTTAAGTAAAATGTAACTGAGTATATATGAGTTACAACAACATGTACATTTCCTTTTGGATTAATAAAGTATTTTTAAATTGAATATATACTTAGCACAAAATGTAAGGACAACTGTGTAAAAGTACTGGTTTAAATTCTACCTATAGCATAAAAGTAAAAGTAATGTAAGGAAATAAAAACCATTAAAGGCTATAATGACTATATTAAAATGTTAATGTTGAAAAATGTATGATGAACTATGCTACAATCGTCTGCTATGCCCTGCTGGAATGTGACATGATTTGTGTCTTGCAGGTGAGCTGGACGTACAAACCAGTAGGATGTCAGAATGGTATACTGTATATTTATACTTCTCGTCTAACCACAATCCAAATTCACTCAGTCCAGGAAGCATTACATATCTGGATGAGTTTTATTTTTTCTGAATAATGACAAGCCAGGAATTTGTAAGGCGTAAAAGTAAATAGTTGGTTAAAATGACTCCAGTAAAGTATAAATTACTGTGGTCAATTTCTACTTAAGTGAAGCAACATTGTATTTACACTTCATTATTTCAGATTATTTCCTTGTTGTAACAATTCTTGGCAACAGATCTGTTAGCGGGAACATGATTGGCAGCACCTGGAGGTACCAGAAGCTCAAAACAAGTTCAACAAGTGTCAGTAGTGCTCCTGCATGTTCCTTACAAATGTGGCACCATTTAAAAGGGAAATTAACTGACTTTCAAAATGTAAAAGATATATCGCCAAGAAGCATTTTTACAACAAAGAAATCTACCAAACTCAAATTTCCCAACTTTTTATGCTAAGTATATACAAAAACGTATTTGTGCTTACATACTGTATATTCCCATAAGTATTATTGCATACACTCACCAGCCACTTTATTAGATACACCTGTCCAGCTGCTCATTAACACAAATGTTTAATCACCCAGTCACATGACAGCAACTCAATGTATTTAGGCATGTTGACATGGTCAAGATGATCTGCTGCAGTTCAAACCGAGCATCAGAATAAGGAAGAAAGGTGATTTAAGTGACTTTGAACGTGGCATGGTTGTTGGTGCCAGACAGGCTGGTCTGAGTATATCAGAAACTGCTGATCTACAGGGATTTTAACCCACAACCATCTCTAGGGTTTACAGAGAATGGTCCAAAAAAGAGAAAATATCCAGAGAGCAGCAGTTCTGTGGGCGCAAATGCCTTGTTGATGCCAGAGGTCAGAGAAGAATGACCAGACTGGTTCAAGCTGATAGAACAACAGTAACTCAAATAACCACTCATTACAACCGAGGTCTGCAGAAGATCATCTCTGAATGAAAACATGTCGAACCTTGAGGCGAATTGGCTACAGCAGCAGAAGACCACACCAGGTGCCCCTCCGGTCAGCTAAGAACAGGAAACTGAGGCTACAATTTACACAGACTCACCAGAACTGGACAATAGAAGATTGAAAAACATTGCCTGATCTGATGAGTCTCTATTTCTGCTGCGATATTCTGATGGTAGGGTCAGAATTTGGCATCAACAACATGAAAGTATGGATCCATCCTGCCTTATATCAATGGTTCAGGTTGGTGGTGGTGGTGCAGTGGTGTGGGGGATATTTTCCTGACACACTTTGGACCCATTTGTACCGATTGAGCATCGTGTCAAGACCACAGCCTACCTACCTGAGTATTGTTGCTGACCATGTCCATCCCTTTATGGCCACAGTGTACCATCTTCTGACCATGTCCATCCCTTTATGGCCACAGTGTACAATCTTCTGACCATGTCCATCCCTTCATGGCCACAGTGTACCATCTTCTGACCATGTCCATCCCTTTATGACCAAAGTGTACCATCTTCTGACCATGTCCATCCCTTTATGACCACAGTGTACCATCTTCTGACCATGTCCATTCCTTTATGACCACATTGTACCATCTTCTGACCATGTCCATCCCTTTATGACCACATTGTACCATCTTCTGACCATGTCCATCCCTTTATGACCACAGTGTACCATCTTCTGACCATGTCCATCCCTTTATGACCACAGTGTACCATCTTCTGATGGCTGCTTCCAGCAGGATAACGCTCCATGTCATAAAGTGAATAATCTCAGACTGGTTTCTTGAACACATGTACTGTACTGGAATGGCTCCACATTCACCAGACCTCAATCCAATAAAGACCTTTGGGATGTGGTGGAACAAGAGATTCTAATCATGGATGTGCAGCCGATAAATCTGCAGCAACTGCATGATGCTATCATGTCAATATGGACCAAAATCTCTGAGGAATATTTCCAGTACACTGTTGAATCTATGCCATGAAGGATTAAGACAGTTCTGAAGGCAAAAGATGGTCCAACCAGGTACTAGCAAGGTGTACCTAAGAAAATGGCCAGTGACTGTATTTCAGCAAGATGATTCTAAACCATATGGTTTTATAGGAGAGTTCAGGCACTGCAGTCCAGAACTCACAAACTGAAAACATTTAGTGATTTATGAAATTAAAAATCCATTAAAAACCCAGGATTATCCTTTATCAGACAAAAACCCCAAACTGGTCTCCTCAGCCTTGTTTACAGGCTGTTTACAATTTTCCTGAGATGTGTTACTGCCAACAAATTAAAAATGTTTTTTTTAGCTATTTATCTGTATAAATATACTTATCTATAATACATTTACATGTACTATAGATACACATACTCACCACTAACAGAGTTGTGTAGCATGAAGTTCCTGGTTTTGACTGAGGTCTTTCTGTGTGAAGTTTCTTTGTTCTCCGTTTTCCATGAGTGTTTTTCTGTTTTACAAATACTCATTTACTTCTTTGGTCTAAAACACATGAATGTTATAGGTATAGGTAATTCTACTTTACCCCAAGAGAGTGTTCATCTTGGGAATTTGTTTGGCTTTTACTGGATTAGTGGTGACCAGTTCAGGGTGTACCTCTATTCTCTGGCTGCTGAGTCCAGTCCACAAGACCATCGAAGCATACAGCATGCACGAAACACAAGTCTTAAAACATAAACTTTCTTTATTATTGTCTTCTCTTTAATAAAATGTTTGTGTTTCCTGAATGTCTGTTGATCTGTGATGGACCGGCTTTGCCTTGAACACCGTTGACTTTTAACACCATCAACCTTAAAATGATTAATCAGGTGTGGGAACCAGATGGATAAATGTGTGTGTGCAATAAAGACACACAGCTCTTCTTTTATAGCTACTTTGGTATTTTTATAGACGTGTTTACTTTTGTTCACATAAGTTCAATATACAACTTAATTTAGACTTTCAATCACACTGATATTTATATTTCTAACAAGCCTCCTTCCACCATTCAGAATAAAAACCTTACTTTTATAACAGTGGTTATATGATTGCTTTCTAATGCTGTAAAAGAATAAAAAATACGCAGTAAGAGTAAAACATTATTCTATGGAAACATCAGACGGATGTTCTGTGTTGTCTTAGTTCAAACTGAAAAGAGATTTTAAACTTAATCAGCATTAGAAATAATTCAAGTTTATTAGTTCTGACATTCAGTTATGACCATTAGCTGTTACCCTGCTGATCGTGTCTCTCTCAAGTCTTTTATCTGGTCCTCGATGACTTGCAGTTCCTGCTTCAAACCTGAAACCTGAACATAAAAAGTAAACCAGTATTAAGTATAGTTATTGTACACACATACAGTACATATATAAGGTATAGTATACACATTTCATGTTGAAGCAGGACACTTTTGGCCTTCATTCAGCTCAAAGAAAACATGAAACTTCTCCACCCAGCTGCTTTGAAGCAAACAGCTCTTCAAGTTCCTGTGTTTCATCTGAACTTCTTGCTTTGCTTTGATATGGTGTGCTTTAAATTGTCATTGCCTATTTATTTTATTTTGTAGCAGTTAGTAAAAAGCAATTAAAAACAAACCGTGTGCATTATCTTCTATAACAGAGAGGTGATCACCAGGGACTCATGTCCTGGCACATCTAATATTTAGACACTGTTGTGACTCAGATTTGTTTCGGCGTTACACAACCAATGTTTCTATGTGGGGTGGAAAGTGGGTCTGCTCTTTATTCTTTAAATGGTTCATGACCCGGACAGACGAGATGATGAACTGAGAGCTTTTCTCTCTTTCTATTGGTGAAGCATTTGCAGCGTGAAGAGGCGTCACTTTAAATCAGGGACAAACGGTCTGACTGATGATGGTCGAGATGGGTTAATCTGAGCGCAACATCAAACAAAAATATAAAGAAAGAAACAGCTGATGAGACACTGTTTTTACACAGCTTACTCACAACACATGGACGGAGCATGAAAAGCTTGAGAACCACTCAAACGGATCCATGATTAGTTGTAACATTAGACTTTATTTGATAAACATTTCTTTTAACTGTAAAATAAAGACTGTAAAAATACTGTAGGATGTTTAGTTTTTAAAAATATATTCTAACACGGACAGAGCCATTTTATTTACACACAAAGCATTCTGGGTAAATGATGACGTGGATAGGTCCTCGGTGCGAGGCTGCTAGCGAGCTATATCCACCCTGAAGGTTAATCTTGGACAATATCTGATGATCGACTCTTTTAAATGAAACCAGAGAGCGTTGACAGAGAGGAGAAGGTAGAAATGACTCAGCCTGGAACTGAAAATATGGATGGAGGACAACAGAGCTGCTTCATGGAAGAACAACCTCAGCTTAGCCTGTTAGCTTTAGTGTTAGCCCCAGCGCTATCACCATATTTATGTATTAGCTCAGTGCTACACATTCTCCTCTCGTCACTGAGGTCCTCCATCCACGTGACAGAGAGGGGAACACAAAAATGGCTCAGCCTGCAACTGAAAATATGGATGGAGGACCTCAGTTTAGCTTGTTAGCTTGTCGTGCTAATGCTATATTGCCTTGTTAAGCTAACAGGCTAAGCTGAGGTTCTTCTTCCATGAAGCAGCTCTGTTGTCCTCTATCCATATTCTCAGTTACAGCCTCGCACCGAGGACCTATCCACATCATCATTTACCCAGAATGCTTTGTGTGTAAATAAAATGGCTCCGTCCGTGTTAAAATATATTTTTAAAAATTATAAAAAAATATAGAAAACACAAATAGAGAGCAGGCGTATTAAAGTTTTGTTCTTGAGGTTTTCATTTACTGCAACTCTTTACTGCATCTTTTACTGCAATAAAAGAAAAATATATATTACAGAGTGGTGGGCACAGCTAAACAAAATATTAGCTTCGCTAACACACAAACTGCTACACAATTTCCTCAGTTCCACTAATAAAGCTAAATAAAAATAAGTTTAGGGGAAGCTAAAGCTTAAACGGTTAATATCATATTAATATTCAGTACAGCATGCAACAGTACCTGGTGCTTTTTTTTGTTAGATTTACAGTCATAAACTTCACTTCAGATATCAAACCAAATCTAAATGTGTAAATCAACACAACTCTAAATGCTTCATGGATCACAGACACAAACGTTTGTTTCAGAGGTGAAATTAGAGAAAACTGTTTTTGTTAAGCCAGGAGGTGGAGCTAAAATTTGCTGACTGAAACTTTTAGAGCAGACGGGTGAGGGAAGGAAGAGGAAGTGACAAATTAGTCTTTGAAATCGCTAATTTACTTCTTATATTTTAACGTTATTAACACTAAAAAATCTGAATGCCCCAGATTAAAGCAAAGAAGGGCATCTTTGTTTCACTATTGTTTTATTTTGTAACAAACTTAGAAAATGATGTCTGTGACTGAATGACTTTCCTGCTGCAAAGGATGCTGGGAAAACTGAAAACTCAAACTGTAAGTCAGAAGATCTGATCTGAAGAGGAGACTCCAAAGGTGGATTGAGGATGATGTCACTGTATGGCCACTGAATACTTTGTTTTGCTCTTTTAATCACGTCGCTGGTGACTGTAAAATAAAATTATTAAATTTAATTTGCTGACATTCGCTGCACAAATCTCACCTTGATTTCCATCTGCTGCCTGTCCTGAACAGGAACACTGTCCAAGTCTTTAGCACCCTGAAGTCGGCGAAGGATTTTTTCCAGCTTTGGAACGACCTTGTCTCTCCTCTGACAAAGCTGCAGGATTTGTTTATCAATGTTCACTCCACTCTGAAAGAGGAAATATTGCAACACTGTAACTAATAATGCATCTGTGTCAATTCTTGGCAGAAATGACTAATTTAACTTTTAATAAATGTAAATGAGGTAATCAAACACATTTCAGTTTGATAAAAATTCTCAGTTTTTTGAGTTTTTGATGTTTGTTCAGCTGTTTATCCGCCTGGAAATGGATAAACTCAACTCTACCCCGACAAGCTTTGTGCTTCAGATGATTTTATTCACTTTCATTTGACTCAAAGATATCCTAATCAATGTCAGTCTTAAAACCTTCGTCTTTACAATCTTGAAAAGTGTTACTGCTTTACTGAGGAGCAGGTTAGGATCTTTGTGGGCAAAGATAAAACCCTTTCAAACAACAATACAACACTAGACATGGGTTTTTACGATGTAAAAACAAGTGTGCATTGCCACGTAGCATGTCATTGCAGCATGGCTTTACCTGCAGCATTGGACTTGCAGAATGAAATGTGACCAAGTTCAAATGTGTTTTCTATACCAGCTTGTGCCTGTCACATCAGCAGGTGTTTGTAATTAAGGTAATTGTGTGACAATATGAAGTTTGAAGAGATTTTTTCTTAAAGTTGCTTTAGCCGGGTTTTGAACCCTGATTTCCCACATGAAAGTCCATGACATAGACCATTAGACCAACGGAGCTGTGGCAGAAGGTGGTGGCAGGGGTTGGTTTGTATGTGTGCAGAAAGAGGCCACATTGCCAATACAATTATTGACACTAAACTGCATAATATTACAACAATAGAGCAGTATTAAGACAATACTATAGTAAAACATCAAAATACAATCATATTAGTATTGTAAACACTGAACTATTGAGATTAAATATTAAAAAACTATGGTGCAGTACCAAGCTGAGTACAGCTGGGGGCAGTATTGAACCATTACAAGGCCCCATTGAGTCTCATTATATGAATTTTGGAATAAAGTTTAAACATTAATATTTCAAAAACTACAAGTGGTACAGGCAGCAAAAGGCAAAGCAATCATTTGGCACAGGACCTTTACAGATAGAAATTACAATGGCAGCTGTAGGACAAAGTATGCAGGAGGAGTAGCGTGGCGACATGGAAGAAGATGGAATAAGTTGAATAATAATAATGTTAAAGAGAAACAGGAAAACAATAGTGTGCATTGCTAATGCAATGCACACTGATTATATATGGCTGAAGATGAACTCTGAGTGCTTTTCTTGTGTCTTAAAAGCTTAAATGAAATTCACAAACATCTGCAAAAAGGTCTTCTTTTCCAGATGTTCCAGGGTCAGATGGAGAGGAAATGAATCCTCTGTGGAATAATTTAGGTGATGCAGTAATCTGACATTGGTTAACTATAGGAAGAAGTCTAGAAGAAATGTTTCTATTTTATTTTTTGTTTTACCAACCTTCAGAAGCATGTTAGTGAGAAACGTTGTGGGTCAGTAATCCTAGGCCAGTACCTTACTGTGACTGTTAGAGACGCTAAGAAAACTGTGGAGAAAGTTGCTGTTGCATCTAACCAACATCTCAGTGCTCAGTGGGACGTTTGAGTGACGAATTTTTGAAAATCACTGCCTATTTTCAATTTCAGGGAGAAAAACTGTATTTTAGGGCGTGCACGTTATTTTGTTGCCCACCCTGTACCCAGGAGTATGGGGTACCAGGCCCTGTTAGGTCCCTGTATGATCGGTGCCAGAGCTTGGTCCACATCACCAAGGTTGTCTTTTGTCACTGATTCTGTTCATAACTTTTAATGACAGAATTTCTAGGAGCAGCCAAGGTGTTGAGGGGATCCTTTTTGGTGGCCTTAGGATCACATCTCTGCTTTTTGCAGATGATGTGGTCCTGTTGGCTTCATCAGATCCTGATCTCCAGCTCTCACTGGAGCAGTTCACAGCCCAGTGTGAAGCAGCTTGGATGAGGATCAGTGCCTCCAAATCCGAGACCATGGTCTCGAGCTGGAAACCGGTAGGGTGCCTTCTCCGGGTCGGGGAGGATCAAGTGGAGGAGCTTAAGTATCTCGGGGTTTTGTTCACGAATGAGGGAAGAATGGAGCAGGAGACCGACAGGTGGATTGGTGCTGCGTCTGCAGTGATGCAGGCGTTGTACCGGTCTGTTGAGGTGGAGAGCTGAGCCAGAAGGTGAAGCTCTCAGTTTACCAGTCGGTCTACGTTCCTACCCTCATCTATGGTCAGGAGCTTTGGGTAGTGACTGAAAGAAGGAGATCACAGATCCAAGCAGCTGAAATGAGTTTCCTCTGCAGGGTGTCTGGACTCTCCCTTAGAGATAAAGTGAGAAGCTCAGTCATCCAGGAGGGACTCAGTAGAGCCGCTGCTCCTCCACGTCGAGAGGAGCCAGTTGAGGTGGTTCATCTGGTTAGGATGCCTCCTGGATGCCTCCCTGGTGAGGTGTTCTGTGCACGTCACACTGGGAGGAGACCCAGAGGAAGACCCAGGACACGATGGAGGGACTATGTTTCTCAGCTGGCCTGCGAACACCTTGGGATTCCCCCAGAGGAGCTGGTCCAAGTGGCTGGAGAGAGGGAAGTCTGGGTCTCTCTGCTTAGACTGCTGCCTCCGAGACCTGACCCCGGATAAGAGGAAGAAAACGAACGGACAGACGGATCCTGTACCCACTCTGGTAGCTGCAGCTGCCGCTACAGTATGTTTATGATTGAATCCACTGCAGAACAATTTGTAAATAAAACATTAAATTAGATTAGTTTTTAATAATGATTATTGATACTATGGTTAGAGGTGGACAGTCGGGGCTGTAGCTTCTGATGTTTTCTGTCAGAAAGAGAGTTCACAAGGAGCAGGAGGACAGGAGCGCAAGCATTTAGCTAGCTTTCTGTTCCTTTTAGGCTTTCATTTAGCTTAGTAATTTGAGTGCTGACCTTTAGCCTTTAGGAGGCATTTTCCTACATTTTAAGCCACTCTGTTGACATTTTTAGTTAGCATTTTACTAATGTTAAATTTCAGCTAGAATTTTGCAATATTTAGTTTTCAGCTCAGTTTCAGCTTCAACAAACTTCAGTAGACTCATTCAGAACTCAGCATACATTGCAGTTTACAGGAAATTTAAAATACTGTAGTTGATAGCTGTGTTTCCATTGCAAATGGGCGCAAAATTTTGTCGTTATTCTGTTAATGTCAAAAAACAGTTTCGTAAATGCAGTGTTTCCATTAAGTAAGAAATGATATTAAAGTCACATGTGAATATGTTTGTTCTCATGATAAATCATGAGAATGTAAGTCATTACATACATCTTTAATGTATTTTAAAGAAACTTTAAACTTGTCAAAAAGCTGTTGTTACTGTTATTGTATGTCACTAATATGAAGAGCAGCTTCTGGTTGCAAAAGTTTAAAAGGCTTTATTTTCATTTGTACTTTATCAAATTTATTTTTAGTTTTTTGTATTTGAAACATTTAAACATTTTTAATTTATTTATTTTATGTCCACAATTTTATTTATTGAATAGTCTATTTTTGTTATTGTTTATG